ATATATATATATATATTGGGAAATGCTACGGTCCCGTTACGGTACTATCCCGTGCAGTTAGATCCGGGTTAATCGTATTTTGGGCTGGAGCAATGAACCTATTTGAAGTGGCTCATTTTGTACCAGAGAAGCCTATGTATGAACAAGGATTAATTTTACTCCAGAAAAGCTCGATATAATTGACCTCGTAATAGGGAAAGAATCCAACGTCTAAGAAAAATGATTCAACGGTTAAAACACCCGATGGGATACTACCGTAAGGCAGGGGCAGACACAGATATAGGCGAGTGCCTAGGCTCAATTTTTTGTGCTAAAATGGTTAATATGTGCTAATAAAAACTTATATTTAATACGTGTAAAAATATAAATACAATTTTATTTTATTTTTAAAATTCCAAATAATTTTTACAACATAATATTATTGTTTTTATTTAAACTGATACACCTCCGGTCAAATTCGAGGATATTACATTATAACATTTATACTTATTTAAAAAAAAATGTTTTTATTGTTTTCCAATTATAATTGATAAGTATTTAAATTTTTATTGATAGAGATCAGATAGATATAATTATTTTAATTTACATATTTTATATGAATGTTAGATTATATATTGTCAAAATATGGCTAATTTAAGTTATCATATATAAAAATTATAATATATGCAAATGTCATTGACTTTTAAAATATATTTATAATTTAAGTTAACCAAGCGTTTAAGTTTGATAATTCTGTATAAAAATCAATATTTGTATGAACTATTTCGATTCCTTAGGAATTAACATAAAAAATTACAAAGTGTTGGAAATTGACCATGAAAAACTCTACATTTATCTATAAGAAGATAATCCATAAGAAAGTCTTTATAAAATAACAAGAACAAAAACGATAACATTTAAGCCTTTTCTCAAATTAATAAATTATATTTCAAAATGACTTGTTTAATTCTTATTACAAAAAAATGAAAGAAAAAGGATTGTCAAATATTTTGGTATATTTCTTAATAATAATAATAACTTACCCAAACCTCATTCTCATTTTCATTTTTTAGCATCAAGTCAAAGATAAATTAAATAGGAAACCCCTCAACACTCGATTATTTCAATGATATTTAATTGTTAATATAAGCACTTTGTGCCATATAGTTAAAATTTCTTCAAATTATTTTTGCGCTGGCTCATGAAAACTCCTGGATCCGCCGCCGCCATAAGGGAACCGGAGCATTTCCCACACACACTCATATATATAT